GGAAACCCACGCTGACACAGGGAGAACATGTCAGAGCACCTGGAGGAAACCCACGCTGACACAGGGAGAACATGTCAGAGCACCTGGAGGAAACCCACGCTGACACAGGGAGAACATGTCAGAGCACCTGGAGGAAACCCACGCTGACACAGGGAGAACATGTCAGAGCACCTGGAGGAAACCCACGCTGACACAGGGAGAACATGTCAGAGCACCTGGAGGAAACCCACGCTGACACAGGGAGAACATGTCAGAGCACCTGGAGGAAACCCACGCTGACACAGGGAGAACATGTCAGAGCACCTGGAGGAAACCCACGCTGACACAGGGAGAACATGTCAGAGCACCTGGAGGAAACCCACGCTGACACAGGGAGAACATGTCAGAGCACCTGGAGGAAACCCACGCTGACACAGGGAGAACATGTCAGAGCACCTGGAGGAAACCCACGCTGACACAGGGAGAACATGTCAGAGCACCTGGAGGAAACCCACGCTGACACAGGGAGAACATGTCAGAGCACCTGGAGGAAACCCACGCTGACACAGGGAGAACATGTCAGAGCACCTGGAGGAAACCCACGCTGACACAGGGAGAACATGTCAGAGCACCTGGAGGAAACCCACGCTGACACAGGGAGAACATGTGGGAGCACCTGGAGGAAACCCACGCTGACACAGGGAGAACACGTTGGAGCACCTGGAGGAAACCCACGCTGACACAGGGAGAACATGTCAGAGCACCTGGAGGAAACCCACGCTGACACAGGGAGAACATGTCAGAGCACCTGGACGAAACCCACGCTGACACAGGGAGAACATGTCAGAGCACCTGGAGGAAACCCACGCTGACACGGGGAGAACATGTCAGAGCACCCGGAGGAAACCTACGCTGACACAGGGAGAACATGTCAGCAAAACGTCAACAAAACAGCCCCTGAAGTTACTTTCACCTACATGTACGGAAATTTGTCGGCACATGTAACGTCCCAATACGTACAAAAAAGTATCTTGGACCCATGCTCCAAATCCGACAGGAAATCAGCCATTTTTAATTTACCATGCCACTTTTGTGCATTTTTTAGGCCATTTCCAGGGGTCATACTTTAACAAACTCTTTCTACAGATTTGATCTGATCATCTTCAACTTTTGTTTGTAACATCTTCAGACCTTCTACATCAAAAGTTTTTAAAAGCTTGACTTTTTATCCACCCATGTGACCGTGGAGAAGTGTCAAACTTCCATGTTGCGCCAAACTTCCATGTTTTGCCACCAAACAGCAAGTAGTTTGTAACTCCAGAATATACATGATCCAATCTGCCCCAAACTTCACGTGTTTGATGAGACTCCAATCCTGAATACGACTACATTCACATTAGGTGTCATGGCGACCGCACCACCTACTAGAAACAGGAAGTATATCTTTTCAAAAACTTATCTTTTGATTTGCCTGAAATTAAAGTTTTGGGTAGCACTTTATATTAAGGTACTGTAATAAGCATTAATTAATGCTTAATAAGCACAAATTAACAGTTAATGAGCACTTATATAAGATTCTTATTAATATTAATAAGACTAAGTGTTTATTACAGCATAACTGACAGTTATTCTTGCTTATTGCATTATAAGCACTTAATAGAAACTTTGGTAACAGTTTATAAATCTATACTAAATATTAATAAGATGTCTATTTACATCAATTATAATATATAAGGATTAATTATAGAATAATAACCACATTTATTACTGGTTTATAAGACACTATAAGACCTTATAAGATGAAATTAATAAGGTGTTTCTTAAACATTAAATGTTGATAAATTATTAACATGCACTTATTAACAGCTCATAATGCGTCTTTGCAGCTACTGGATCTAAAGTGGGAACAGTGTTTTGTTGACATTCATAAACTCTTTATTATGCACTCACTGAAGTTAATAATTCTATTAATTATGCACCTATTTCAACATCCAGATATCAAGACTTCAGCCTACCAATGGTGGTGAAAACACAACATAAGGACATATTTCCTTTTCATATTGATTTTTAATGCAACCACTATTGTCAAAAACAGGAAAAAAGGATTGGAAACCCTAATAGTTGAGTTCTAAAAAAAATGACAGATCTGAGTTCATTTGGCTTTTTCAAAAGTTTTGTTACTTAGATTGACTGTTCGTGAATACAGTGTTCCACAAAGCTCCCTGTAACCCATCAGTTTTCTGAACGTGAGTGACAAAAGTCTCAACATCGGCCAGGCCAAAGGTGGCCAGGTCAGTGATGTCTTCAGGCCAGTTGCTTAGGTCAAACATGGTGGCAGCGGCCTTTAAGACACCCTCATCAAGGTTGCCAAACAACATAGTGAGGTTGTTACAGAAGACATTGATTAGTTTATCTTTCACTTTGTGGAAGTCATCATCACCCACTTGTTTCCTGTTGAGTTTTACACCAGAGAAGGTGTTTCCAGGAAGAGGTCCCACTTCATCCAGGAACTGCTTCAGATGCTGACCTGGGACTGTCTGAAATACAGAAGAAAAAAACTTTCACTGTCACGATTGCTAAACATACACCGTAGCATATTAATTCCTCTCTAGGGAGTTTATTTTGTTTACCTGCATGGCTACAAGAGCCAGGGTCGGCTTCTGCAGTCCATCTGACACCATCTGCCATGTCAGCCCTTCCCTCTGAAAGAGAAGGCTCAGAATTAAACCCATAAACACATTTAATCTAACTTTCCTTGTTTTTAATCCACAGCCTATTACTGAATTACTCTCACAATGGTTTCACAAGAGTGATAATAAAACACTCACACACTGAGCCTGATACAAACTTCAATTACCAAAATGTATGAAATCCTCCTTTAACCTTACTGACAGAGAGGAATGAAGTCAGGCTATGGCGTTAGCAAATCAGCAGGAGTTAGCATGAACATGACGCAGCCTATATCCATTAGCCTGCTCAACATAACACACAGCTCATCGATGCTCCTAACACATTCACTCTGCTCACCCTGCTTCACACATTTACTGTCATTTTTGTATCTCAACCATCTTCACACACATTTCACTCACTTTAACTCACACAGAACGTCATTAGTGATGCACTTAACGTTAGCTACCGAAGCTATTTCTAGCTGCACCCTCCAAGAGCTGCGACACACACACACACGCACACACGCTCTCTTAATCGCTGTCAAAGTCAATGTCCTATGAGTGTCACAGTTACACACTAAGGTTCTGCTAACACATACTACTGCTATGTGTCTGTTCATTATACTCAACTTACCTGTAGGAAACTTAGAAACATGACTGGCTGCTAGTTCAAGCGTGACCTTCATCTCTGTAGCTAAAGTTGCTAGCCTAATTATTACTGACTGAATGAACCGAGTACACCTGTTCTGATTAACTGTACCGTCATTGTCATAAACATCAAAATTTAGAACACACAGTCACATGTTATAACTTTGAAAGGCCATCATGTACATGATTAGCTGAGTTGCTAGTGTTAGCTATCACAAAGAACTAGAACCAGCTAAAAATCAACAAGCTAACGTTAGCCTATAGCCTACTTTAACAAACTAACTTACCACAGGGGCAGAAACAGATGAAACATCGTCTTCAGAGTCCCTAAGCTAAGTTTCACATTCTTCTCCAACTGGAGTGGTACTGGATGTGCTTGTATCAGTTGTTTCAACCATCTCAGCATTGCTAGGTCCAGTGCTCTGATGTGGAGTGGCGAGCATAGCTGGTGAGTGGCACCCAGCGTGACCATCATGCAGTGAGTTGAGATAATATCCCAGGATGCATTTTGCAGAGTTTGGCAATAGCCTTTACTAGTTCTCAACTTTCTGTTAAACGATTAATAGTAATGTCAAAATTATGTCTAGATGTGATGACTTTACAAATAACACGAATTTCAAAACATACTTGACATGGTTCGTTCTGAAGAGGTAACACTTAAAATAGCCGATTAGATGCATTATGGGCTGTATCAATAGAGAAATTACTGCAGGCAACAGCGGAGAGAGGGAGAGGGTGGACCCAAGAAGGGGTTCCGTGTGTATGTGTGTGTGTGTGTGTGTGTGTGTGCATGCGCGCACCTGTGGAGCCAGATCAGGTGCAGCAAAAGCCACTGTATTTTTGCTGTTCATAAGTTTTTATTTAAATTATTCAAGCGACAAAAGCGATGTTCAGATACCCATACGTAATGACGTTGTAAGTAACATCCATTTCCATATTGCTTTGACTTTTTTTTGCTGTCCTGGAATTGTCCCAGACATGTTTGTGAACCAGTAGCAATTTTAATAGTCCCCGGGACATCGGGACACCGTTAGTTTCGAGCCCTGAGAGCATATTAATAATTTATTAGCCTTTATACAACACTGTTCCCACTTTAGATCTGGTAGCTGCAAATATTCATGATTAACTATCAATAACACCTTATTAATTTAATCTGATAGGGGCTTATAGTGTCTTACAAACCAGTAATAAATGTGGTTATTATTCTATAATTAACCCTTATAAATCATAATTAATGTAAATAGACATCTTATTAATTTTTAGGATAGCTTTATAAACTGTTATCAAGTTTCTATTAAGTGCTTATAATTCTCCTCTATGCAATAATAACTGTAATTTTATGCTATAATTAACTCTTATATAGTCTTTTTAATGGTAATAAACATCTTATACATCTGTCTTATAAGTGCTCATTGCTTATTAAGCATTAATCAATCAATCAGTTTCAATCAATTTTATTTATAAAGCCCAATATCACAAATCACAATTTGCCTCACAGGGCTTTACAGCATACGACATCCCTCTGTCCTTCCCTCACAGCGGATAATTAATTAACGCTTATTACAGTACCTTAATATAAAGTGTTACCAAGCTTTGAAGCAAAGTCTGCAGGTAGAGCTCACGTTACAGAGTTCTGCAGGGACAACGTTCTTCTGAAGTTAGTGCTAACATGCTAACATCTCTGTACAAAAGACAAATCCTCAGTTTGATGTTCAAAATAGACAAAAACATTTATTGTAGAAGTTTACAGATGATGACATCACTTCCTGTTTAACCTCTTCAAGTCAGAACAGAATCACCTTCGAGATTCGGCTGAAACATTTTTTTTTCTCACTAAAACAAAATAAATGTCTATAAACAAAATTTTAAATATTTAACAAAAACACCGAGTGGGCGGGGCCTATAGCTAGTGGGAGGGGTCTGATTTCCTCGGCCATGCTGATTGGTTGGTACACTGGAATCGGTAGCGCAGGAATCGAACTTGCGGCTTGATGTGGAAGTCAGCAGGTATCCTCCAGTTCCACATTTTCTGCACCTGAAACACAAGATAAAAATGTGCTTTGTTAGCTAAATGTAACACATGCTTTTGTTAGCTAAACATAAACATGTGCTTTGTTAGCCAAACGTAAGAATGTACTTTTTGTTAGCTGAATGTAAACATGTGCTTTTGTTAGCTGAATGTAAACATGTGCTTTGTTAGCTAAATGTAAACACGTGCTTTTGTTAGCTGAACGTAAACATGTGCTTTTGTTAGCTAAATGTAACCATGCGTTTTTGTTAGCTAAATGTAACCATGTGTTTTTGTTTGCTAAATGTAACCATGTGCTTTTGTTAGCTAAATGTAACCATGTGTTTTTGTTAGCTAAATGTAACCATGTGCTTTTGTTAGCTAAATGTAATCATGTGCTTTTGTTAGCTAAATGTAACCATGTGTTTTTGTTAGCTAAATGTAACCATGTGCTTTTGTTAGCTAAATGTAACCATGTGCTTTTGTTTGCTAAATGTAACCATGTAAATGTTACCATGTGTTTTTGTTAGCTAAATGTAACCATGTGTTTTTGTTTGCTAAATGTAACCATGTTTTTGTTTGCTAAATGTAACCATGTGCTTTTGTTAGCTAAATGTAACCATGTATTTTTGTTAGCTAAATGTAACCATGTGCTTTTGTTAGCTAAATGTAATCATGTGCTTTTGTTAGCTAAATGAAACCATGTGTTTTTGTTAGCTAAATGAAACCATGTGCTTTTGTCACCTAAATGTAACCATGTAAATGTTACCATGTGTTTTTGTTAGCTAAATGTAACCATGTAAATGAAACCATGTGTTTTTGTTAGCTAAATGAAACCATGTGTTTTTGTTAGCTAAATGAAACCATGTGTTTTTGTTAGCTAAATGAAACCATGTGTTTTTGTTAGCTAAATGAAACCATGTGTTTTTGTTAGCTAAATGAAACCATGTGTTTTTGTTAGCTAAATGAAACCATGTGTTTTTGTTAGCTAAATGAAACCATGTGTTTTTGTTAGCTAAATGAAACCATGTGTTTTTGTTAGCTAAATGAAACCATGTGTTTTTGTTAGCTAAATGAAACCATGTGTTTTTGTTAGCTAAATGAAACCATGTGTTTTTGTTAGCTAAATGAAACCATGTGTTTTTGTTAGCTAAATGAAACCATGTGTTTTTGTTAGCTAAATGTAACCATGTGTTTTTGTTAGCTAAATGAAACCATGTGTTTTTGTTAGCTAAATGTAACCATGTGTTTTTGTTAGCTAAATGAAACCATGTGTTTTTGTTAGCTAAATGTAACCATGTGTTTTTGTTAGCTAAATGAAACCATGTGTTTTTGTTAGCTAAATGTAACCATGTGTTTTTGTTAGCTAAATGAAACCATGTGTTTTTGTTAGCTAAATGTAACCATGTGTTTTTGTTAGCTAAATGAAACCATGTGTTTTTGTTAGCTAAATGTAACCATGTGTTTTTGTTAGCTAAATGAAACCATGTGTTTTTGTTAGCTAAATGTAACCATGTGCGTGTGTTAGCATCTGTGGATGATTACCAAACATGGCCATGTGACGAGGTCGCAGTGAGGACGTGACGCCCCACCAGTTGACTAACGAGTGTCTTGAGGTTGTTTTGTGTTTCAGTGTGGACAAAGACGTGCATATATTTTAAAGCAAGATCGTGGACTGTGGCAGACTGAGGACTGGACTCATAGGGGTCAAATACGAACCTTCAGGACCCTGACCAGATGGGTTGTACTGTTCAGTGACTGAACCTGCGGAGAACAAGCAGAACCAGGAGAAGAGAAAGAACAAACCTTCAGCACCTGATCTCAGGTCAGAGACTACAACCACAACCAACAACCTGGAACTCTTATACTGGTTTATACTGGTCTTTGGTCAGTGACAGCAACCTGAAACATATACCAGTTATTACTAACGTTTGTACTGATTTTAACTGGTTTAAACTAGCTTTGTACTGCTTTATTCTGGTTAACACTGGTTTTATACTGGTTTACAGTGGTTTTTATACTGGTTTACATTGAGGTATACTGGTTAACACTGGTTTTATACAGGTTTACAGTGGTCTTATGCTGGTTTCATACTGGTTTACACTGGTTTTACACTGAGTTAAACTGGTTTTATAGTGGTTTGATATTGGTTTACACTGGTTTTACACTGAGTTAAACTGGTTTTATAGTGGTTTGATATTGGTTTACACTGGTTTTATATGGGTTTACACTGGTTTGATAGGAGTCTCATACTGGTTTACACTGGTTTCAAACTGGTTTACGCTGGTTTTATACAGGTTTCATACTGGTTTACACTGGTGTTATACTGGTTCATACTGATTTACACTGGTTTTATACTGGTTTACATTGGTGTATACTGGTTTACACTGGTTTTATACTGGTTTACAGTGGTCTTATGCTGGTTTCATACTGGTTTACACTGGGTTATACTGGTTTTATACTGGTTTCATATTGGTTTACACTAATTTTATATGGGTTTACACTGGTTTCATTCTGGTTTACGCTGGATTTGCATTGGTTGAAACTGGTGTACACTGGTTTCATATTGGTTTCATATTGTTTTACTCTGGTTTATACTGGTTTACATTGGTTTAATACTGGTTTATACTGGTCAATATTGGTTGATACTGTTAATACTGGTTTACACTGGTTTTATACTGGTTGCGCCACAGTCAATTACATGTAGAGGAAACCCTGTACTGGTTTTATATTGGTTTATACCGACCTAATACTGGTTTTATATTGGTTTACACTGGTTTATACTGGTTTTGTACGGTTTATACTGGTTTACACTGATCTTATACTGGGTTCATATTGGTTTATACTGGTTTTATACTGGTTTCACATTGGTTTACACTGGTTTCATACTTGAAAGGACAGAGGGATGTCGAATGCTGTAAAGCCCTGTGATGCAAATTGTGATTTGTGATATTGGGCTTTATAAATAAAATTGATTGATTGAATTGATTGATTAACTTGTTAATACTGGTTTTATACTCATTTATACTGGTTTTATACTCATTTACACTGGTTAATATTGGTTTCATACTGGTTTACACTGGTTTTGTACTGGTTTATTCTGGTTTTATACTGGTTTATATTGGTTTATACTGGTTTACACTGATCTTATACTGGTTTCTTACTGGTTTACACTGGTTTATACTGGTTTTAGACTGGTTTATATTGCTTTAAACTGGTTTACACTGGATTTATATTGATTTAAACTGGTTTTATATTGGTTTGATATTGGGTTCCACTGAATTATACTGGTTTTATACTGGTTTCATATTGGTTCTATACTGATGTTATACTGGTTTCCTCTGGTTTTTTTGCTAGGTTATACTGGTTTACCCTGGTTTTATACTGGTTTATACTGACCTAATACTGGTTTTTTTGTACGGTTTATACTGGTTTACGCTGATCTTATACTGGTTTCTTACTGGTTTACATTGGTTTTATACTGGTTTTATACTGGTTTACACCGATCTTATACTGGTTTCTTACTGGTTTACACTGGTTTTATACTGGTTTACATCAATCTTATACTGGTTTCTTACTGGTTTACACTGGTTTTATACTGGTTTCATATTGGTTTACACTGGTTTCATACTTGTTAATACTGGTTTTATATTCATTTATACTGGTTTTATACTCATTTACACTGATTAATATTGGTTTCATACTGGTTTACACTGGCTTTATACTGGTTTATACCGGTTTACACTGATCTTATACTGGTTTCATATTGGTTTACACTGTTTTTATACTGGTTTCATATTGGTTTATACTGGTTTCATACTTGTTAATACTGGCTTTATACTCATTTATACTGGTTCTATACTCATTTACAGTGGTTAATATTGGTTTCATACTGGTTTACACTGGTTTTATACTGGTTTATATTGGTTTATACTGGTTTCATACTGGTGTTATACTGGTTAAAATCAATTTACACGGGTTTCAAACAAGTGTATAGGTTTATACTAGTTTCAGACTGTAACTGGTTACAGATTGGTTTCATCTGATTTCAGACTGGTAAAAACTGGTTACAGACTGTTTAAATCTGGTTTAAACAAGTTATAGGCTGGCATCAACTGGTTTAAACTGTTTTCAGACTGGTTTAAACTGGTTTAAAGTGGTTTCAAAATGCTTTTACCTGGTCTAAACTGGTTACAGACCAGTTTATTCTGGTTTATACTTGTTCATACATGTTACAGATGGGGTTATTGTGGTTAAAACTGGTCAAAATTATTTTAAACTGGTTGCAGACTGGTTTAAACTAGTTTAAATTGTTTTAAACAGGTAACAGACTGATTTAAGCTTATTTCAGATTGGTTTAAACTGGTTGCAGACTGTTTCAATCTGGTTTAAACCCATGACAGACTGGTGTAATCTGGTTTAAATTGGTCTCAGACTGGTTGAAACTGGTAACAGACTGGATTAAACTGGTTACAGAATGGTTTATAGTGGTTAAAACTGGTTAAAATTGGTTTAAATTAGTTGGTAGACTGATTTAACACTGCTTTAAAAAAGGCCTTGACTGGTTTCAGACTGGTTTCAGACTGGTTTAAGTTTATTTCAGATTGGTTTAATCTGGTTACAGACTGTTTTAAAGTGGTCTGAACTGATTTAAACTGGTAACAGACTCGTGTAACCACTTTTAAAATGGTTTAAACTGGATACAGACTGTTTTACACTGGTGTTACAGACTGTTTTAAAAATGGTTTAAACTGGTTGCTGACTGTTTTTATACTGCTATAAAATAAATATATAAAAATAAATAAATAAAATAAGGTCTGGACTGGTTTCAGACTGGTTTAAATTGATTTAAACTGGTCTTAGTCTGGTTTAAACTGGTTGCAGACTGGTTTAAATTGGTTTAAACTGGTTACAGACTGGTTTAAACTTGTTGTAGACTGGTTTAAATTAGTGTGAACTGGTTAAAGACTAGTATAGTGGTTAAAACTGGTTATAATTGATTTAACCTAGTTACAGACTGATTTATACTGGTTTAAACCGGTTACAGACTGGTTTGAACTTGTTGCAGACTGGTGTAAACATGTTTAAAATGGTTACAGACTGGTTTATACAGGTTTAAACTAATTAAAATTGGTTTATACTGGTTGCAGACTGGTTTCATACTGTTTTAAACAGGTCTGAACTGGTTTTAGACTTGTAGTTTTTTAAATTGTTTTAAACAGGTTACAGGCTTGTTCATACTGGTTTAAACTGGTTACAGACTGGTTTATAGTGGTTAAAACTGGTTAGAATTGGTTTTAACTGGTTGCAGACTGGTTTTATACTGCTTTAAATAGGCCTGAACTGTTTTTAGACTGGTTTAAACTGGTTTAAATTGGTTTGAATTGGTAACAGACTTCTTTATAGTGGTTAAACTGGTTAAAATTGGATTAAACTGGTTGCACACTGGTTTTATACAGCTTTAAATAGGTCTGAAGTGGTTTCATACTGATTTAAACTGGTAACCAACTGGATAGAATTGGTTTAAACTGGTTACAGACTGGTTTAAAGTGGTTGCAGACTGGTTTATACTGGTTTAAACTGATTACAGACTGGTTTAAACTGGTTTGAAGTGGTTTCAGTCTGTTTTAATCTGGTTTCAGACCAGGTCTATACTGCCTTAGAATGGCGTCCTCTTTTGCCCGGACATGTCCACTTTTCACGTCCCGTCCGGGGCGTCCGGGGCGTCTGGGAGGTTTTTATAAACTGATGATAATGTCCGGTTTTCCGTGTGTTTGTGTGTGTGTGTTAGAGTGCGGCACGGGCCACATATTTCTGTCCGAACCTGAACCGAGCCCGACATTATTTAATGACCAAAGCACTGAGTTTGTGTCGCACAGTTGTTACGGTTACAGGCTATTTAACAGGCCGGGCGTGCTCAGCGGAGAGGGAGACCTCCGTGTTTGAGGCGGGAGCGGGAGGCGGGAGGTCTGACGTTTCCAGCGAGAGGAGAGAGAGAAATGAATTAAAATAAGATAAAATAGGAAAAACCTGTCTCACTCTTTTATTTTATTTTCAGCGTTTAATCAAGGCGGAGGCGGGCGGCTGGAGGTCCGAGACTTCCAGAGAGGGGAGAGGTAGAAACAAACAGCCAATGTGTGTCTGTGTGTGTTATGTTCAGGTGTTGTCAGGTAAATAACAGTGCCCAAACAATAAACAGGACAGACAGTAGGATTTTATTTATTTTTACACTACATTTTCACTGAAAGCTGACCGAATCCGATCTGAGCCCGAATACAATTTATAGCTACATTTTTGACCAAACCCAGCCCGACCTGTTGGGTACCGTCGGGTACCATCGGGCTCGGATCGCCACGCTCTAGTGTGTGTATGTGTCCTCTATCTATAGGGGCCTATCTGAATTTCTGTCTTTGAGAGATATTATTTTGTAATATAACTGAATTTTCTATCCATACATATAAATTTTAAACAGTGTCGGAAATTAGCGAGGGCCACGGGCCATTTGTCCCCCAATTTAGCCAAGAATGCCCCCAAAAACCATGTTCCAGGGGCCAAAATTGCCCCCAAGTTTTTGTCAACAATTCATTATTCTCCAGACGTCCTTAACAAGGTTGCACTGATGCACCAGGGTGTGCGCCGCAGGCGCCCGCGCCCCCGTCCCTCACACACAGACAACGCTCCTCACTACAGAGCCTACCTGAAGCTGCCGTGCTGCGATGGATCATAGACCGCTACGTGGTTAAGCCACCCACCCACCAAAGTGAACCAGTCCCAGTTCCTCTGCCAGATCCTCCCCAAGTTCCCGCAAACACGTTGACGAAGAGATGTACCCTGCCAGCAACAATTTTGAACTGGAAACTCGACTGGTGTGGAAGAGGCGGCAGACAAGAAAATCCTCTTTTGTAAAGCATGCCGAGCTAACCCACCGAAACACAAGACTGGGCTAAACGCTAAAGCTAACGACTTCATAAAAGGAAGCGACCAAGTAAAAAAGTACATGGCATACCGTCATCAAACCACAAAGCACCACCGATTTGCTTACAGTAAGATTTAACATTTGTATAGTAGGCTAATCTTACGGTAGCTAACGTGTCATCACGTTGAAGTAAATGTTAGCATAAAACTAAAGTCACTGTATGCATCTGTCCCGACTTGTGAAACGCAATATTTATAAATTATGTTTCACGTGTTCACAAGACTAAGCTTGGCCTTTTTAACAGTAATGCAACTACTGTGATTAACTTATGTGTAATGTGGTGAAACACCAAATTATAGCACCCGAGCGGGAGTAACGTTATGTGCGAGAGGGAGACCCGAGCGAGGGCTGGCTGCCCGGGGGTGCTGGTGGGAGTGTGTGCGGGGCCGGGAGGGCAGGCTCCGGGGAGAGGGAGACCCTAGCGGGGGCTGCCCGTGGGAGTATGTGTGGGGCCTCCATGTTTGAGACAGGAGCGGGCAGCTGGAAGTTGGACGCTCCCAGAGAGGGGAGAGTAAGAAATATAGCTAAATAAGATGAAATAGAAAAATGTCTCTGTCTTACGTACAGAGACGTACCTTCACATTCTCTATTAGTACGGCTATCAGTAGATTAATGATTAAATCAACAAATTTAAACTGGTTTAATTATAGGAAATCAGAGTGATATTTAGCAACCGTAACTTTAAGTAACCCATTATTATCTGCGGCGGATGCAAGCAGGTCTATGGGAGGCAATTCATCATCATGTTGTGTCGAATGGAGAAACCACCGCAGGTCTCCAGCAGAGGACACTGCTGAGTCTTGTTTATTTTATATCTAGTGGTTTATACTAAAGAGTAAAGACACTATTGTAGTTGTTTTTGCTTTTCATGTGCTTATTTTTAGAAAAGAATTTGATTATCTTATTTTAATAGACCTACAGTTTTTAAAGAAACAATCTGTTTGCATTGCACTGTTTTTAAGGTTTTGTGTAATATTTACAGGCTGTTAAGAGCTAAATAATCACTAAATAGTTTGTCTACAGCCGTCTCCTGCTTTCTGTCATAGCTACTACTTGCACACTTCTCTCTGAAAAAGAAATGGTATGCTTTTCATTTATTTGCGTTGGAACTTGGCAGAAACCACTGTGCATTTTAATCTATAAAAATAACAAAGCTCTAACTACAATTTTTTCCATGGCCCCCAATCATTTTAAAAATGTCCCCATTTTTTAGAACGTGGGGGCCAAAATTGCCCCCAAAATATTTTGTTAATTTCATACCCTGATTTTAAATATATTAAAATGATAAGGCATCTTTGAGTAAACTGCGAGTATCATTTAAGTAGGCTATGTCGTGGCTGGCCGAATGTCTCTCTTTTTTGGAAATCAAAATATGGTCACCCTATTTTAAACAGGTTGCAGACTGGTTTTATACTGCTTTAAACACGTCTGAACTGGGTCAGACTGTTTTAAACTAGTTACATACAGTACTGGTTTATACTGGTTTAAACTTGTTTGAGACTGGTTTACACTGGATTAAACTGGTTACAGACTGGTTTTAACTGGTTTCAGACTGACTTAAACTGATTTTAGACTGGTTTAAACAGGTTTTGATTTGTGCTGTAAAACTTACCAGCCGTCTGATTGTGATCAGTCACAGCTGGATGACCTGAAACAAACACATGAACACAGATTTGTACCACAGAAGAAGAGCTGAACTCTTCTTCATGTGTTAAATGAATGTCACTTACTGGAGTCGAGTGGCATCCATGTTGGATCTGCTGAAACTACAAACACACACACTTTAACTACATCTGTAACTTCTGACCTCTGACCTGTCTATCAGACATCTGATGAAGGGCGGGGCTTACCTCTGTCTGTTACCATGGAGTCTGTCGCCATGGTAACCAGGTCTGTGTTGGAATAACCACCTGAAACTGATCCAAGGACAGGTTGAGACAGACACACTGGCGTGCAGACAGACAGGTGTACAGACAGACAGACAGACAGGTGTACCTGTTTGCAGAGTGTGTGTCTCTGTATGGAGGACGACAGGTGACGACTCTGTAATATGATCACATGACATGAAGTGAGCAAACAAACAAACAATCTTGTGATGTCGTGGTTGTCATAGCAACGCGTCTCACCTGTGACATCATGGCCGAGTCCGAGACCTGAAGCTATGGACCAATCAGAGCACAGAGTGAGGATTCTGTCTGTGGCCAATGAATCAATTGATTAAACGGCCTCTCACCTGTCAGGTCGATGTAAAGACCAGTCACTGACTCCGCCCCTCCTGCTGACATCATCATGACATCTGTTGACATCATTATTATGATTAATAAAGAGATCAGAGAGACAAAACAGGAAGTGGACTCCACGCTACAGGAAGAAGAAGGTTTACCTGCGTTTGAGTCCAACAGCAGAGTCTGACGACCGTTTCCTGAAAGACATAACCTATCAGCCAATCACAGCCAATCACAGCCAATCACAACCTGTCAGTCAATCAATCAATCAATCAATCAATCAACCAATTTTATTTATAAAGCCCAATATCACAAATCACAATTTGCCTCACAGGGCTTTACAGCATACGACATCCCTCTGTCCTTATGACCCTCACAGCTGATCAGGAAAAACTCCGGACAGACGGACAGACGTGCAATAGATGTTGTAATTTTGGTTTCACGTACAGTACATTAGCATCATTAGCATTTATTACATAAACCCAACTTTTTTGTTGTTGTGACAATCACAACCTGTCAGCCAATCACAGCCCTCAACAGCTCTGACTCATCATTAAAAAACAATAATACTGTAAAACTTTATTGATCCTGTCATTGTAACATGAAACCAGTAAAAGATCATGTGACTCTCAACGTTAACATCAGGGCTGTTGGCACCGTCTATGAAAACAAACACATCACAAACATTAAAGATGAAATCAACATGTTTAGAAACAATAAACAAAAACACCCTGAAAGTTAACAAACAAACAAACAATACCGAGCAAACTTTTAGTACAAACAATCACTTTAGTGTTTTTAATTTAAACCTTTGTTTATTGTTTATGTTTCATCAATAAATAAAATATAATGTCAATACTTCATCATAAACTGTTAAAATTGTGTGTTTACAGCTGTTTACAGGTGAGGTTGTGTACAGGTGTGTCACAGATGTGTACAGGTGTGTACAAGTGTGCCACAGGTGTTTACAAGTGCGTTACAGATGTGTACAGGTGTATACAAGTGTCTCATGGGTGTGTACAGGTGCATACAGGTGTGTCTACAGGTGCGTACAAGTGCGTTACAGATGTGTACAGGTGCATACAGGTGTGTCACAGGTGTGTACAGGTAAATACAGGTGTGTACAGGTGCATATGAGTGTGTTTGCAGGTGATTAGAGGTGTGTACAAGTGTGAGCAGGTGCAAACAAGTGTGTCACAGGTGTGTACAGGTGCATACAGGTGTGTACAGGTGCACACAAGTGTGTCACAGGTGTTTGCAGGTGTGTACAGGTGCATACAAGTGTGTCACAGGTGTGTACAAGTTCATACAGGTGTGTACAGGTGTGTCACTGGTGCATACAGGTGTGTCAAAGGTGTTTACAGGTGCATAGAAGTGTGTACAGGTGTTTACAGGTGCATACAGGTGTGTCAAAGGTGTATACAGTTGCAAACAGGTCTTTACAGGTGTGTACTTGTGTGTACAGATGCATTTAGGTGTGTACAGGTGTGTTTGTTTACCTGTCTGTTCCCTTTGAGTTTCGCTGTGTGACAATGATGATGATGATGACGATGACGATGATGAAGCTGCTGCATCTGAAGAAAAACTCAAATATGAGCAGCAGAACTTACAACAAAAATTTCTCAGTGTTTTCAAAATAAAAGTAACACCTGTACCAACCTTCCTGGGTAGTGGAGTGGGCAGAGCCTGACACAGAGCTGTACAGTGATTGGTGAGGCCCCGAGATCAGAGAGGTGGAGTCCGGTCCTGATTGGTCGATGCTGATGTCAGAGTGATGGACGGGGTCTGTAGAGAGGGGGCAGATTGACAGCAGGTAAGTTTGACCACACACACTGACCTTTGACCTCCTGGTTCATATGAGCGTCAACATGGATACGCATGACACCTGTGGGCGGGGTCAATACCTGCAGGTAAGTCCGGAGCTGCTGTCACACCTGACGACATCACTGAAACACAAACAAGACTGCTCAATAACAGCCGATCAATTATAGCTGATCAATCATGGCCCATCAATTACAGCAGATCAATAATGGCCAAACAATAACAGTCGATCAATAACAACTGATCAATAACAGGTGATCATTAACACAGCTGATCACAGAAAAGGAATCTCACCTGTGGGGTCCAGCTGAGTGGGCGGAGTCATGTCACCTGACCAAAAGAGGAAAATTAACTTCTTGGTTCACCAATTTACCACCTGTAAAGATCTGTTTCCTATTTATCGCTTTAAGGCCACACCCACTGATCACACTTGTAGTAATCACACCTGTCCCGATCACACCAGTACTTATCACACCTGTGCTGATCACACCAGTGCTGATCACACCAGTGCTAGTAACACCTGTACTGATCACACCTATACTGATCTCACTTGAAGTGATCTCACCTGTACTAATCACACCTGTACAGATCTCACCTGTGCGAATCACACCTGTACTGATCACACCTGTACGACTCACATCTGTACAAATTCAATTCAATTCAATTCAATTCAATTTTATTTATAAAGCCCAATATCACAAATCACAATTTGCCTCACAGGGCTTTACAGCATACGACATCCCTCTGTCCTTATGACCCTCACAGCTGATCAGGAAAACCTCCCCAAAAAACCCTTTAACGGGGAAAAAAAACGGTAGAAACCTCAGGAAGAGCAACTGAGGAGGGATCCCTCTTCCAGGACGGACAGACGTGCAATAGATGTCGTACAGAACAGATCAGCATAATAAATTAACAGTAATCCATATGACACAATGAGACAGAGAGACAGAGAGAGACAGAGAGAGAGATGCAGGTAATGACAGTAGCTTACAACAACATTATTGAAAGTAATAATATTATAGTTCTGGCTACTGTGGTACAATATGTTGAAAGTATATATTAATATCTGGCAGTATACATATGTGACAATAATCATATGTGTATAATAACAGTAGAAGTATGACTAATGATAACAGCAGCAGCAGGAGGCATCTGGCAGGACCACGGCAGCAGCACAACCACACACATCACACTATCCAGGCACCGCTGCAATATGAGTTAACCTGAGAGACAGTGGAGCACAAAGGCTCCGGAGAAGAAGCCGAGTTAGTGATATGGAGAGAGATAGAGAGAGCGAGAACGAGAGCGAGAGAAGGTGCCCGGTGTATTATAGGAGGTCCCCCGGCAGACTAGGCCTAAGTCAGCCTAACTAGGGGCTGGTACAGGGCAAGACTGAGCCAGCCCTAACTATAAGCTTTATCAAAGAGGAAAGTCTTAAGTCTAGTCTTAAATGTGGAGACGGTGTCTGCCTCCCGGACCGTAACAGGAAGATGATTCCACAGGAGAGGAGCCTGATAGCTGAAGGCTCTGGCTCCTGATCTGCTTTTGGAGACCTTAGGGACCACGAGTAACCCTGCGTTCTCAGAGCGCAGTGTTCTGGTGGGATAATATGGCACTATGAGCTCTCTAAGATATGACGGAGCTTGACCATTTAGAGCTTTATAAGTTAACAGTAGGATTTTAAATTCAATTCTGGATTTTACAGGGAGCCAGTGCAGAGAAGCTAAAACGGAAGAAATATGATCATGTTTCTTAGTTCATGTTAGTACACGTGCTGCTGCATTCTGAATTAGCTGGAGAGTTTTTAAGGACTTACTAGAGCTACCTGATAATAGAGAGTTACAGTAATCCAGCCTTGAGGTAAGAAAAGCGTGACCCAATATTTCTGCATCTTTTCTGGTCAGGATAGGCCTAATTTTCACAATATTACACAGATGAAAAAATGCAGTCTGTGAGGTTTGTTCTATTTCGTCCCTACTGACCACCAGAGGCGGTGCATAAGCACTGGACCGCTGCATGAACTCTGGAAGGTTATATCTTCCGGTGTCAGCAGGTGATCTGTTCCTTCATTCTTCTCGCAATTCACGCGTTGAGGTGTACGTAAGTTCTTTGCTGTTGATTTCACGTGTTGCTGGCCCTGTGCAGCCTTGTGCCTCTGCGGTGGGAGTAACGGGCTGACGCTCTTCCTCCGAGGGGCTCTGGCCAGCATGTTGTATGATTTTTGGGATTCAAAGTTGAAGAATTTAGTTGTGGTTGGTGACGGTGGTGTTTCCGCTACCCTCTCCCAGCTCAGTTGTGCTTTTAAGAAATATATATATACTTATATATATTTAAAAAAAAAATCAAAAAAAAAAGGAAAGAAGGCTGATAACCTTGTTGGTGACGGTTGTGTGCCCGCCCCCTCTCCCAACTTGGTCTGGTGGTTTTTTCTACTGTGTTGACATTTCTGCTCCTGGCAGTGTCACACTTTTCTGGGCTCCTCGCTGGCTTTCTCCACCTGGTTACAGATGGAGCACGCCTGTGGCAGCTGCATGACCTCCCTTAAGCCTGAGGACGGCCATGACCACTGTGTGGCCTGTCTTGGCGTGGACCATCTGCAGGAGGCCCTCACTGACAAGGCCTGCATGAACTGCAGTATCATGCCTCGGTCGGTGAGGTTGGCCAGACTGGCCCAACTGGATCCTCTGGCCTGCCTCCCTTCCTTCCAGTCTGAGAGGGCGGACTTCTGTGGGGCCCCTGTGCAGAAGAGGTCTGCCACACGGAGCGGTGACGGTGCTCCCGCGTAAAGGAGGAAGGCAGCGGCGAAGGACCAGCTCTCCTCCAAGGTTGACCACTTGGCTGCTCATATGGAGCAAATTAAGGCGCTCCTCATGAGTCTCCAGCCTGCTGGTGGGGTGGCACCTCATCGCAGCTTCGTTGAGTCAGTTTTGGGACTCACAGGGTAATCTGCCCCCTCTGACGGCAGCTGGCTCCTCCCATTTCTCAGCCCAGAGTTCTCGGCGGGGGTCTGATGACTCTTCCATGGGGGCGATCATCCGGGAAGCCCTGGCACGTCTGCAGCTCGATGCCCCGAGCCAGGGGCAGGCTCCCAGTGCGTTTCACAGGCGCAACCCTTCCTCGGCAAAGGTTACGGTGCCGCATTCTCCAGACTTCCTGAAGGAGCTGCACTCCTGTTGGAGGGACACTTCAACCCTCACCAGGCCGGGGTCAGATGAACGGGCCTTGGCTGCCATGGAGGATGCCAAGTTGGTGGGGCTCCTCCACATGCCGGCGGTTGAGCCTCTAATCGCGGCCTTGTTTGTGGCTCTGGATGAGATAATGAAATCCAACCCTAAGTGCCCTTCTGCCCAGTATAAGGTTACTGATGATTACGTCTGCAAGGCCTACAACACAGCAGCATGTGTCGGCCGCTTGGGGAACACCCTCTCGCACTTACTCCTTGCCCTCTCGGCCTCCCTGCGGGATGCACAGGTGGACGACTCCGTCCGCGACATCTGTGATGCGTCACTGCAGGCTTTTGCCTTCTAGACGAGGGATCTGGGACGGCTGATGTCGACACTTGTCCACACTGGCCGTCATGTCTGGTTGGCACAGTCACCTCTGATGGAGACTACTCATAGGGTCCTTCACCGGGTGCCAGCAGAACCTGGGGAGCTGTTTGGTTCTGCTGCTCTGGACACACTGGACTGCACCGCTGAGGCCGACAAGACCAGGCGGTGGCTTGCGAGCCTCCACAAAAGACCACCTGTTTCCAGAAGTGGATTGAGGACTTTTCCATCTGCCCCTCAGGGTCCTCCACGACCATCTCCCCGGGGTGGCCAATGCCAACGGCGGGATGAGAGGAACTCGGCACGTGACTTTCATTCCACTCTGCGCCATTCACCTCAGAAGCCTCAGGACCCCAAGCCCAGCCGCTGCACTTCTGGCTCCTCCAGGGGCCAGGGGGCCTAGGCGCTGGGGCCACAGGGCAGGTTGTAGGCTGCTTTTCCCAGGAGCAGCTCAGTCATTGGGCTGCCTGCTCGCCAGACCCCTGGGTAGTTGCCACCTTGACCTGGGGTTACGAATTGCAGTTTCAACATCGGCCCCCAGCTTTTGGCCGGGTCAACATGACAGTTATCAAAGACTCGGCCAAGGCCCAAGCATTAGCTCAGGAACTCTCCACCCTCCTGGACAAGGGCGCCATCACACCGGTGGACCCTCTCCTTCAACCCTCAGGATTCTACTCGACCTACTTCCTTGTCGGCAAGAAGGACGGCGGACTCTGTCCCATCTTGGATCTACGTGGCCTAAACAGGTATTTGAAGGTTCTACCATTCCATATGTTGACCTCAGCGGACGTGATGCATGTGATCCAGCAAGGCGAATGGTTCACGTCCATCGACCTGAAGGACGCGTACTTTCTTGTGCCCATTGTGGCCCATCATCAGCCCGGTTCTATGAGTCCCGGATGACCGCCAGAGTGTCTGGTCACTCACGCGTGCTCGCGTGCAAATTTTGGGAACAGATCACCTGCTGACACCGGAAGATATAGCCTCCCAGAGTTCATGCAGGGGTCACGGGTGACGTTGTTGATATTTGTACTCAACATGCGCTAGCGCAGGCGGGGTTATCCAGTGCTTATGCACCGCCTCTGGCGGTCATCCAGGACTCATAGACCCATAGTTACAACTGTAACTTTTCATTTTAAATAGGAATTAAAAGACAAATCTTGATCAAACATTACTCCAAGGTTTTTCACGGTAGTACTAGAGGCCAGAGCAATGCCATCTAGAGAAACGATGTCATCAGATAAGTCTCTGAATTTAACATCAGGAAATTGGTGCTCATTCAGGTTTTTATGTCTTTAAGGCAATTATGAAGTTTAGTTAATTGATTACTTTCTATCACACCTATACTATTCACACCTTTATCGATCACACCAGTACTGTTCTCACTTGTACGAATCACACCTGTACAGATCACACCTGTACTGTTCTCACTTGTATGAATCACACTTGTACAGATCACACCTGTACTGATCTCAACTGTACTAATCACACATATACCGATCACACCTGTACTGATCTCACCTGTACCGATCACACCTGTGCGGTCACACCTGTACTGATCACACCCGAACTAATTTCACCTGTACTAATCATACCTGTACCAATCTCACCTGTACTAATCACACCTGTGCTGATCTCACCTGTACCTATCTCACCTGCACTAATCACATCTGTACTGATCACCCCTGTATTGATCACACCCATACTGATCACACCTGTACTAATCACACCTGAGCTGGTCTCACCTGTACTGATCTCACCTGCACTAATCACATCTGTACCGATCTCACCTGTACTGATCACCCCTGTACTGATCACACCCATACTGATCACACCTGTACTAATCACACCTGAGCTGGTCTCACCTGTACTGATCACACCCATACTGATCACACCTGTACTGATCACACCTGTACTAGTCACACCTGTACCAATCTCACCTGTACTGATCACACCCGTACTAGTCACCCCTGTACTGATCACACCTGTACTGATCACACCCGTACTAGTCACACCTGTACTGATCTCACCTGTACTGATCACACCCGTACTAGTCACCCCTGTACTGATCACACCTGTACTAGTCACACCTGTACTAATCACACCTGTACTGATCACACCCGTACTAGTCACACCTGTACTAATCACACCTGTACTGATCACACCCGTACTAGTCACACCTGTACTGATCTCACCTGTACTGATCACACCCGTACTAGTCACCCCTGTACTGATCACACCTGTACTGATCACACCTGTACTAGTCACACCTGTACTGATCACACCCGTACTAGTCACACCTGTACTGATCTCACCTGTACTGATCACACCCGTACTAGTCACCCCTGTACTGATCACACCCGTACTAGTCACACCTGTACTGATCTCACCTGTACTGATCACACCCGTACTAGTCACCCCTGTACTGATCACACCCGTACTAGTCACCTCTGTACTGATCACACTTGTACTGATCACACCCGTAGTAGTCACCCCTGTACTGATCACCCCTGTACTGATCACACCTGTTCCAATTACACCTGTACCGATCACCCCTGTACTGGTCACACCTGTACTAATCACACCTGTCAATCATCAAATGAATCAATCCCTGTGCAGTTCAAGGGAAAATAATCATCAGAAAGTGATGTGAGGTCACACCTGGGGCGTTGACGTGAACACCTGGTGTAAACGGAACACCTCCACCTAAGAACAACAGAAACAACAAACATAAACTCAGGTGTGGTGTCACTTCCTGTTTGTTTATTTCACTCTGTGGTGACATCATCAGCCTGACTCATCTAACTGCTGCAGGTAAACATCCAGGTGTCACCTTTCCTCTCCTACAGAATGTTTCCTACATCCTGAAGAAGCCAGGAAAGGAGGCACTGAAGGTTCCTCACCCTCACCTGTCTCAAGTAGAAACGTACCCATCAGGCTGAGCAGGAAGTCGTGACTGGATGCGTCAATCGGTCCTGGAGGACAAGAAGACAGAGGGCACAGGAGAGAACATGAGACATGGACTTAGACAGTACAGTTCCCCCTACCATTCTATTATGACACCCCTGCCCCCTCTTAAAGGTTCAAGTTAATTTGATTTTAATTTCTATATAGCGCCAGATCACAACAGAAGTCATTAAGGTTTCCTTTTCTATAGAACAGGTCTATAACCTGTCCTAAATAGCTTTATGTTATTTATCTCATTTACATGACGGCATGTCATTTCTATCTCCTGGCCGCATTTTCTTGCCCGAGCCTGACGTAGTTTGTTAGCTGACATAATTATTGTTATGGACAATGTGTAAATGACCATAAAGAGACTGCTGTTACTCACAGTTAAATATGGCGCTACATACACTCAATTGGAGTGAAGCCTGTGTTGCGTTCAGGTGTTGTCACGTAAATAACAAATTTCAGCACTTGAATAGGCCATAGCACATGTCAAGTGGGCCGAGTTAAAGTTTTGATTTATCACACCTGTCCTGTGCAACTGTTCTGTAGACCTGTCCTGATCACACTTGTCCTGTACTCCTGTATGTTACACTTGTCTGGATCACACCTGTCCTGTACACTTGTATGTTACACTTTCCCTGTACACCTATCCTGTACACCTATCTTTTACACCTGTACGTTACACCTGTCCTGTACACGTGTATGTTAAACCTGTCCTGTAACACCTGCCCTGTTCACCTGCATGTTACACCTGTCCTGTATCAATCAATCAATCAATTTTATTTATAAAGCCAATACCACAAATCACAATTTGCCTCACAGGGCTTTACAGCATACGACATCCCTCTGTCCTTAGAACCCTCACAGCTGATCAGGAAAAACTCCCCAAAAACCATTTAACGGGGAAAGGGAAAGGTTAAGGGTTAGGTTTAGGTTTATGATACACCTGTCCTGTACACCTATCCTGAGCACCTGTCCTGTACACCTATCCTGTAGACCCCAACCAACTGCAAATTTGACTGTAGGTACGATGTCAGACAGACCTCACCTGGACACTCACCTGTATAATCCAAGTGAGAAACTCCAAATGAACCCAGAACACCTGAGACAGAAAGAGACAGGTAAACGAACAGGTAAACAGACAGGTATACAGACAAACAGGAAAACAAACAGGTAAGCAGAGATTCATTCTGTTCTAGCTGTCCTCACCTGTCAGTCTCACCTGTAGCCCCTTCCCCTGAAGCTCACCTGTCTGACTGTCGGCTCCACCCCCTCCTCCTCCATTCAGCAGCTTCTGCCCGTTACCTGAAACACACAGTCAAACACACACCGACCAATAATCAAACACACACCCTGATCAATAATCAAACACACACTGATCAATAGTGAAATACATTGATCAATAATCAAACACAGACAGTGATCAATAATTAAACACACACTGATCAATAATCAAACACAGACAGTGATCAATAATTAAACACACAATGATCAATAATCAAACACAAACAGTGATGAATAAACAAACACACACTGATCAATAATCAAACACAGCCAGTGATCAATAATCAAACACACTGATCAATAATGAAACACACAATGATCAATAATCAAACACAAACAGTGATGAATAAACAAACACACACTGATCAATAATCAAACACAGACAGTGATCAATAAACAAACACACACTGATCAATAATCAACCACACTGATCAATAATTAAACATAGACAGTGATCAATAATTAAACACACACTGATCAATAATCAAACACTGATCAATAATCAAACACAGACAGTGATCAATAATTAAACACACACTGATCAATAATTAAACACACACTGATCAATAATCAAACACAGCCAGTGATAAATAATTAAACACACACTGATCAATAATCAAACACAAACAGTGATGAATAAACAAACACACACTGATCAATAATCAAACACAGACAGTGATCAATAAACAAACACACACTGATCAATAATCAACCACACTGATCAATAATTAAACATAGACAGTGATCAATAATTAAACACACACTGATCAATAATCAAACACTGATCAATAATCAAACACAGACAGTGATCAATAATTAAACACACACTGATCAATAATTAAACACACACTGATCAATAATCAAACACAGCCAGTGATAAATAATTAAACACACACTGATCAATAATCAAACACAAACAGTGATGAATAAACAAACACACACTGATCAATAATCAAACACACTGATCAATAGTCAAACACAGACAGTGATCAATAATCAAACACAGACAGTGATCAATAATTAAACACACACTGATCAATAATCAAACACAGACAGTGATCAATAATTAAACACACACTGATCAATAATCAAACACAGACAGTGATCAATAATTAAACACACACTGATCAATAATCAAACACAGACAGTGATCAATAATTAAACACACACCCTGATCAATAATCAAGCACACTGATCAATAATCAAACAGACAGTGATCAATAATTAAACTCACACTGATCAGTAATTAAACACACTGATCAATAGTCAAACACACTGATCAATAATCAAACACACACTGATCAGTAATCAAACACACACTGATCAATAATCAAACACAAACAGTGATCAATAAACAAACACACTGATCAATAATCAAACACAGACAGTGATCAATAAACAAACGCACACTGATCAATAATCAAACACAGACAGTGATCAATAAACAAATACACACTGATCAATAATCAAACACACACTTATCAATAATCAAACACACACTGATCAATAATCAACCACAGCCAGTGATCAATGAACAAACACACACTGATCAATAATCAAACACACACTGATCAATAATCAAACACAGCCAGTGATCAATAATCAAACACACACTGATCAATAATGAAACACACTGATCAAAAATCAAACACAAGCAGTGATGAATAAACAAACACACACTGATCAATAATCAAACACACTGATCAATAATCAAACAGACAGTGATCAATAATTAAACTCACACTGATCAGTAATCAAACACACTGATCAATAATCAAACACACACTGATCAATAATCAAACACAGCCAGTGATCAATAATCAAACACAGCCAGTGATCAATAATCAAGCACACACTGATCAATAATCAAACACAGACAGTGATCAATAATCAAACACAGTTATCAATAATCAAACACACACTGATCAATAATCAAACACAGCCAGTGATGAATAAAGAAACAGACACTGATCAATAATCAAACACAGCCAGTGATCAATAATTAAACACACACTGATCAATAATCAAACACAGCCAGTGATGAATAAACAAACACAGACAGTGATCAATGATCAAACACACACTGATCAATAATTAAACACACACTGATCAATAATCAAACACAGCCAGTGATCAATAATCAAACATACACTGATCAATAATCAAACACAGCCAGTGATCAATGATCAAACACAAACAGTGATCAATGATCAAACACACACTGATCAATAATTAAACACACACTGATCAATAATCAAACACAGCCAGTGATAAATAATCAAACACACACTGATCAATAATCAAACACACACTGATCAATAATCAAACACAACCAGTGATCAATAATTAAACACACACTGATCAATAATCAAACTCAGCCAGTGATCACTGATCAAACACACACTGATCAATAATTAAACGCACACTGATCAATAATCAAACACAGCCAGTGATAAATAATTAAACACACACTGATCAGTAATCAAACACAGCCAGTGATGAATAAACAAACACACACTGATCAATAATCAAACACACACTGATCAATAGTCAAACACACACACACAAACACACACACACTGCTCAATAGGTTACTGGTTATTGATCACCAGGGATTTGATATTTACCATTAGAGTCTGAGTCGACTCCTTCAGAACCTGTAAACATAAATACAGGTTTAATAAACAACAACAACGACTGATGATGTGATGTCACTGTTGTTTTCACATGTTGATCACCTGTCGGTCGAGAACCTGCTGAGCCGCTCGGACCTCCAGCTGCTGAAAAACAAACACTTCATCAGGTGTTTTATTTTGGCAGGTGCCTACAACAGGGAGTTGATATATGAAACAGGAAGCTGACTTATGAAACAGGAAGTTGACTGATTATCAAACAGGAAGTTGACTGATTTATCAAACAGAAAGTTGATTTATCAAGCAGGACGTTTACTTGTTTAACAAACAGGAAGTTGATTTATCAAATAGGAAGTTGATTTTTCAAATAGGAAGTTGATTTACATCATTGACCTGTTGTCATGTGATCAACCATCAGTAATTCCTGTTGTTATTACCTGTAGAACTTCCTGCTGTTCCATCAGGTGTTCCTCCGCCTGCTGGCTGACCGCCGGACGCTGAAATAAAAACAAACCTTTCAGAACTACGACTGAATTTCTGTCGATGTTTGGTCATTTTTAAAGCTGAACAACTTCCTGTCAGAGAGGACGAATTGAAACAGGTGACTCACCGCCCAGATCCTGAACGTTGGTAGACTCACCTGCTGCAACACCTGCTGAGAAAAACACACCTGAGTCAAACAACTGGTTATCAGTGATTCACATAACACTGACAGCTGAGTCAGTCCGAGTCTGACTGAGTCTGTTTGAGTCTGTTTGAGTGTGACATAGTCTGTTTGAGTCTGTCCGAGTCTGCTTGAGTCTGACATAGTCTGTTTGAGTCTGTTGAGTCTGTTTGAGTCTGTCTGAGTCTAACTGGGCCTGACTGGGTCTGAGTTTGTTTGAGTCTGACTGACTCTGTTTAAGTCTGACTCAGGCTGTCTAAGTTGAGTCTGACTCAGGCTCTCTGAGTCATTTTGAGTTTGTTTGAGTCTGTCGATGTTTGGTCATTTTTAAACGACTTCCTGTCAGAGAGGACGAATTGAAACAGGTGACTCACCGCCCAGATCCTGAATGTTGGTAGACTCACCTGCTGAAACTCCTGCTGAGAAAAACACACCTGAGTCAAATAACTGGTTATCAATGATTCACATAACACTGATGGCTGTGTCAGTCCGAGTCTGTTTGATTCTGACTGATTCCGTCTGAGTCTGTCGAGTCTATTTGAGTCTAACTGAGTTTGTTTGTGTCTGACTGAGTCTGTTTGAGTCTGTTTGAGTCTGACATAGTCTGTTTGAGTCCGTCTGAGTCTGTCCAAGTCTGTTTGAGTCTGATTGAGTTTGTTTGAGTCCAAGTCTTTTTGAATCTGACTGATTCTGTCTGAGTCTGTTGAGTCTATTTGAGTCTAATTGAGTTTGTTTGAGACTGTTTGTGTCTAATTGAGTTTGTTTGAGTCTGTTTGTGTCTGACTGAGTGTGTTTGAGTCTGCGTGATTCTGTTTCACTCTGACTGAGTCTGTTTGAGTCTGCCTGCATCTGACTGAGACTGTCCTAGTCTGTTTAAGTCTGACCGAGCCTGTTTGTGTCTGACTTATTCTGGTTGAATCTGTTTGAGTCGGACTGAGTCAGTTTGAGTCTGACTGAGTCTGTTTCGTCTGAATGAATCTGTTTAGTCTGTTTGAGTCTGACTGAGTCTGACCAAGTCTGTTTGAGTCTGACTGATTCTGTCTGAGTCTGTTTGAGTCTTAGTCTGTTTGAGTCTGACCAAGTCTGTTTGAGTCTGTCTGACTCTGTCTGAGTCTGACTGGGTCTGACTGAGTCTTACACAGTCTAAGTCTGTTTGAGTCTGAGTTAGACTCTCTGACTCAGGCTGTCTTAGTCATTTTGAGTTTGTTTGAGTCTGTCGATGTTTGGTCATTTTTAAACCTGAACGACTTCCTGTCAGAGAGGACGAATTGAAACAGTTGACTCACCGCCCAGATCCTGAATGTTGGTAGACTCACCTGCTGAAACTCCTGCTGAGTCTCACTGATTCCGTCTGAGTCTGTCAAGTCTGTTTGAGTCTGACTGAATTGGTTCGAGTCTGACTGAGTCTAACTAAGTCTGTTTGAGTTTTTTTGACTCTAGCTGATTCTGTTTGAATGTACCTGAGTCTGTCTGAGTCTGACTGAGTCTGTCTGAGTGTGACTGTTTCTGTCTGAGTCTGTTCAAGTCTATCTGAGTTTGACTGAGTCTGACTGAGTCTGTTTGAGTCTGACTGAGTCTGTCTGAGTCTGATTGCAACTGTTTGAGTCTGACTCGGTCTGTCTGAGTCATTTTGGGGTTGTTTGAGTCTGTCTGAATCTGTTTGAAAAGTGACTGATTCCGTCTGAGTCTGTGTAGTCTTTTTGAGTCTGAGTTTGTTTCAGTCTGTTTGAGTCTGTTTAAGTCTGAATGATTCTGTTTGAGTCTGTTTGACTCTAATTGAGTCTGTTAGAGTCTGCCTTAGTCTGTCTGAGTCTGTTTGAGTCGTACCGAGGCTGTCTGAGTCTGTTTGAGTCTGAGTGATTCTGACTGAGTCTGCTTGTGTCTGCTTGTGTCTGACTGAGTCTGTCCTAGTCTGTCTGAGCCTATTTGAGTCTGACTGAGTCTGTTTGAGTCTGAGTGATTCCATCAGAGTCTGTCCAGTCTGTTTGATCCTGACTGAATCTGTTTGAGTTTGTCTAAGTTTGACTGAGTCTGTTTGAGTCAGACTGAGTCATTTTGAGTGTCTTTGAGTCCCTCTGAATCTGTTTGAATCTGACTGATTGCGTCTGAGTCTGTGGAGTCTGTTTGAGTCTAACTAAGTTTGTTTGAGTCTTTTTTGACTTTGACTGATTCTGTTTGAGTCTGCCTGAGTCTGACTGAGTCTGTTTGAGTCTTTCTGAATCTGTTTGAGTCTTGGTGAGTCTTTTCAAGTTAGTTTGAGTCTGACTGAGTCTGTTTGAGTCTGCTTGCGTCTGACTGAGTTTGTTTGCGTCTGTCCAAGTCTGTTTAAGTCTGACTGATTCCGTCTGAGTCCGTGGAGTCTGTTTGAGTCTAACTGAGTTTGTTTGCGTCTGTTTGACTCTGACTGATTCTGTTTGAGTTTGCCTGAGTCTGTCTGAGTCTGACTGAGTCTGTTTGAGTTTATTTGAGTCTGTCTGAGTCTGACTGAGTCTGACTGATTCTGTCTGAGTCTGTAGAGTCTGTTTGAGTCTGTCCGATTCTGTCCAAGTCTGACTGAATCTGACTGAGTCTGACTCTGTCTGAGTCTGACTGACATGTCTGAGTCTGTCAAGGCTTTCTGAGTCTGATTAAGTCTGTTTGAGTCTTTCTGAGACTCTTTGAGTCTGTCTGAGTCTGACCTCATCTTTTTGCCGCCCGAGTCTGTTCGAATCTTATTGATTCCGTCTGAGTCTGTGGAGTCTGTTTGAGTCTCACTGAGTTTGAGTCTGTTTGATTCTGTGTGAGTCTGCCTGAGTCTGCCTGTTCCTTCTTCAACACCCCGCGAGCCGCCGGTTGTGGCGGTGGTCTGGCTGCTATATTCAAAGACAGCTTCAGATGCCAAATAATAAACACTAATAATTATTCCAGCTTTGAACTGCAGCTGTTTGTGATCGATCTCACCTGCCCTGTGCTGTGTGCCACAGTTTATCGCCCACCCAAATTTAATAAGGACTTTATTCAAAAGTTTTCAGAGTTTTTGTCTGATTTTATTCCAAAGTTTGATGAACTTTTGATCTGCAGGGACTTCAATATTCATGTTTGTTGTGCAGCCAATCAGCTGGCTAATGAGTTTAAAGGCCTCTTGGATTCCTTCGGTCTCACTCAATCAGTTAATGGTCCAGCACATGAGCATGGGCACACTCTTGACCTTGTAATTTCTCATGGGCTTCCTGTCTCCCTCAGAGAAATAATGGACACTGCTATCTCGGATCACCTTCCCATTATGCCAATAGGCCTGTTTCCCCTGCTCACCGCTGCTGCATCTTTACCTCATCAATGGCTGGAGAGTTTGCTGCTGCCTTCAAGGACTCTCAGCTGTATGGTGACAGTGGGCTGGTTTCTCCCCTTTGCCCAGATAGCCTGCTCTCTGCTTTCCATTCCAAATGCTCCACGATTCTGGACTCAGTTGCCCCTCTTCGGCAAAAACGCACTAAACCCAAGGCAGATCCCTGTGTGAATGATTCCACCCGTGCACTCAGGCAGCAATGCAGACAGGCTGAACGGTGGTGGAAGAAGGACAAACTACATGTTTCCTTGGGCTTGTTAAGGGACAGTTTGGCTGCTTATCAGAGAGCTCTGAAGGAGGCAAAGTTTAAATATCTGTCCAGTATCATAGCTAACAGCTCTCATCATCCAAGGGTGTTATTTAATACTATAGACTCTGTCATTAACCCATGCCCCACTGTCCTGTCTGATGCTTCCATGGCAACATGTGAGGAGTTGTTTTTTTTTTTTTTTTTTTTTTTTTACTGACAAAGTGTCAGGCAGAATATTAGTAATATATCTATCTCTCCTGGTGATGTGTGTGCTCCTCCTGCACCGTCTGCCATTTTCGAGCGGTTTGAGACAATTTCTCTGTCGTTTTCCACTAAGGTGGTTCATGGCGTGAAACCTACTAACTGTCCCTTAGATATCATTCCTGCCAAATTCTTAAAGGAGGTTTTTCATTCTGTTGGGTCAAGTCTCCTTGTTTTTATTAACTCCTGTCTTAGTTCAGGGTCTGTCCCAGCTGCCTTCAAACATGCTGTGGTTAGGCCCCTCCTAAAAAAAAAACAACATCTTGACCCCTCTGTGCTGTCCAATTTTAGACCTGTCTCTCATCTGCCTTATCTTTCTAAGGTCTTAGAAAAAGTTGTTTTTATACAATTACAGTCATTTTTAGAGACAAATTCTGTTTTTGATAAATTTCAGTCTGGTTTTAGATCCCGACATAGCACAGAGTCAGCACTGTTAAAGGTGGACAATGATATTGCCTTGTCTTTGGATGCTCGGAATCCCGCTGTGCTGGTGCTGCTGGACCTCACAGCGGCCTTTGATACAGTCGACCACGCAGTCCTTGTATCTCGCCTAGAGCAGTATGTAGGCATCCGCGGCACCGCTCTTCAGTGGTTTAGGTTGTACCTGGCCAATAGGAGCTTTTCTGTGATGATTGGTGACCTCCACTCATCACATGCATCTCTCCCTTGTGGGGTGCCACATGGATCTATTCTTGGCTCTATCCTTTTTTCATTGTATTTGCTACCTCTGGGATCAATAATAACAAAACACAATCTGTCTTTCCATCTTTATGCAGATGATTTACAGATTTATTTGCCCATGAAACCCAATGAAAGTACTGCATTTCATAAGTTAATGGATTGTATTAGTGACATAAAGCAGTGGCTGGCACGAAACTTTCTGCACCTGAACAACAGCAAAACTGAATGTATTTTGTTTGGCACTTCATCTATGTCGGATGTTAGTGCAACAACCTGGAGCACTCTGGCCCCTTTTTTTAAACCACATGGAAAAAATCTTGGTGTAACATTTGACAATGGTTTGAAGTTCGATAAACAGATTGGTTCCGTTGTTAGAACAAGCTTTTTCCAGCTCCATCTCTTGGCCAAAGTGAAGCCGTTTCTCAATCGGCAGGACCTTGAGAAGGCAATTCATGCGTTCATCAGCTCAGGATTAGATTACTGTAATGCCCTTTATGTCGGCCTCAGCCAGTCTACCCTTTCACGACTTCAACTTGTACAGAATGCTGCGGCCCGATTTTTAACAAACATGCCCAGACGTGAACACATCACCCCTGTGCTGTCGTCATTCCACTGGCTTCCAGTTCATTGTAGGATAGATTTTAAACTTTTGTTGTTTGTTTTTAATGCCATTAATGGCCTTGCTCCTCCCTACCTGTCAGAGATTTTAACTATCCGCGATAGTGGCAGGGCCCTGCGCTTGTCTAGTCAGCTTCTGTTAGAAGTCCCAAGGTCGCGATACAAGAAATGGGGTGACCGCTCTTTTGATGTTGCTGCTCCAAGACTGTGGAACAAGCTCCCCCCGACATTCGCACCACTACTGATCTTGACCTTTTTAAATCTAAGCTGAAGACCTACCTTTTTAGAATAGCTTTTAATTCTGACTAGGGCTATCCATTTTTTAGGTTTATTTATTCTGTTTTAATTTATTTTATCTATGTTGAAAGGCGTTTAATACCCTGTAGTACTGTCACACTTTCCATTGTTTTTTTTTCTTTTATGTATTGTTGTTTCAGTGTTATCTGACACTGTTGTTAAGCACTCTGGGTAACTTTGGTTTTTGTAAAGGGCTATAGAAATAAATGTTGATTGATTGATTGATTGACTGAGTCTGTTTGAGTCTTTCTGAGTCTGCTTGAGTCTGTTTTAGTCTAACTGAGTTTGTTTGAGTCTGTCTGAGTCTTTCCGAGTCTGACTGAGTCTGACTAAGTGTGACTGAGTCTGTTTGAGACTGACTAAGTCTGTTTGAGTCTGACTAGGTCTGTTTGAGACTGACTAAGTCTGTTTGAGTCTGACTAGGTCTGTTTGAGCCATTTTGAGTGTCTTTGAGTCCGTCCGAGTCTGTTTGAATCCTACTGATTCCGTCTGAGTCTGTGGGGTCTGTTTGAGTCTCACTGAGTTTGAGTCTGTTTGAGTCTAAATGATTCTGTTTGAGACTTTTTGACTCTGTTTGAGTCTGCCTGAGTCTGACTGAGTCTGTTTGAGACTGTCTGATTCCGTCTGAGTCTGTCAAGTCTTTCTCAGTCTGTTGTAGTTTCCCTGCTTTTCAGCAGTTGGCACTGTGACCTGAGACCCGGGGCGGCGTCAGGTGTCTCCATGCTGGATGGACTCCAAGACCTGGATCAGGCTGGTTCACCTGATCCTGGTCTGAGTCTCAACCTGTTAATCTGGATTAAACCCGACACTGAACAGGGACAAACAAACTCTTCAGGAGGGAAACACCTCAGGGTCCACTCACCTGAACTTCTGGATGCCACCACCGCCACTGTGGTGGTCTGCTGCCTGCCAACAGCTCCTGTAGGAGGAGGAAGGAGTGTCAGGTGGAGGAGGAGGAAGAGGAGGAGGAGGAGGAAGAGGAGTAGGAGGAGGAGAAGGAAGAGGAGGAGGGAGAGAAGGAGGAGGAGGAGAACGAAGAGGAGGAGGTATTCAGTATTGTCTGTTTCTATCAGAGTTCATTACATACGGATCAGTGTGGTTAAATCCTGACACAGGACACAGGAAACTGGAAGTGTGCTCTCTGAGCGGTCTGTTTATTTTCTGGTTAGAAGTGTTTATGCAGATTTATGATGTGTTTAATGTCTCACCCTGGATCTTATCCTGACTCTGACTCTGGGAGTCTTCGTCATCTGAAACAAGAGAACAACATTTATCGATTTTATTTGGACTTCACAAAACTTTATTTATTTCCTCTTCCTGCCCTTTTTCTTCTTCTTTCTCTTCGACACATGTCCCACATCCAAGCTCCACCCACTCCTGACTCGCCGCTGACGTCTTCTTCTCTGCTCCGTTCAGCAGGAACAGGAAGCAGCGGTGGTTCAATCCGAAAAGGAGTTCACGAAGACACGACTCCTCCATCAGTCTGAGTCCTGAGATCCTCCTGACTTCCTGCCTTCAACCAACATAGCTGTCAATCGCACCTACCCACGACCCAGAGACTCCACCTTCAACCCTTAATCCTCATCCTGTCATCCCCAACCCTTCATCTCTCCAAACCCTGAGTCCATCATGTACAATAAACCAGTGGAATCATCAGACTCATTGGAGATGAGTCAGACCTGCACAGATTTGATTGCTGCACACATTCCATCGAAGCACAGTGCATGCTGGGTAATTTTGTGTCCGACATCATCCCGGCTCGCTCGGACGTCATAGGGAAGTGGACGGTGATAATCTGGTGACAGTGTGGCGCTGCAGCTGCTCTCCTCCAACTGTAAGACCCAGGGCATGATGGGAAACACCTGGCTGTCACCTGATCTAACAGCTGATTGGTTCAGATGTTGACGCAACAAGATTCTTCGCCTCAAGTTTGAACCAATAGTGAGACCCGTCATAGGGTGGAGCACATACGAGATAGGAACAGTAGTTACGTGGATGTAACTCCAGTTCCATGAGTGTGTCTGGGATTTCAAAGGGAATTGAGCCGCAGGGGGGAGGGGTTTATACGGGGGAGGGGCTTATTAAGGGGGCGGTTTCCTCGTCTCACAATAAGTAGATTATTCTTATCAATAAATTAACTGATTGATTGTTTAGGTGATGACATCACGCACTGCATTGAGGTCATTGATCCCAAATATTGATCAGCTGATCAGTTTAACACCACCAACAGTTTGACTTTTCAGATCTTTGTTATTAATCAATCATTTAATTAATCAATAAATCAATCAGTGTCAGTCCTACCCTCCTCCTCCTCGGACAGCTCCCCCTCCGCCTCTTCCATGACCTCCACCTCCACCTCATCCTGCTCCTTCTCTGGAGAACACAACCAAAAAAGTTACTGATCATCAAGTTGAATCAATCAATTAAATTGATAGATATTGATCAGTAAGTCTTTTTACCCTCGACAGGAGCCGTAGAAACCGTTGTTACCAGGAAGATGACCATCCACATGACCAGCAGGTTCCTGTCAGGACAGAGTAATCAATACTGACCAATATTCACCAATACAGATTAATACTCATCAATACTGACCCTAACCCAGTAGTACCATCAGTAGAATAAGTAGTACCCAGTAGTACAGTACTATTATTAGTAGTACCCAGTAGTATAATCAGTAGTGCTCAGAAGTACAGTAGAATAATCAGTAGTATGAGTAGTAGTACTCAGTAGTACAGTAGTGTAATCAGTGGTATGAGTAGTGGTACTCAGTAGTACATTAGTGTAATCAGTAGTATGAGTAGTAGTACTCAGTACAGTACTATAATTAGTAGTATGAGTAGCAGTATTTAGTGGTACAGTAGTATAATCAGTAGTATGAGTAATAGTACTCAGTAGGACAGTAGTATAATCAGTAGTATAAGTAGTGGTGATCAGTAGTCCTCAGAGGTACAGTAGTATAATCAATAGTACTTAGCAGTATAATCAGTAATCCTCATTTTTTTTAGTAGAACTCAGTATTACAGTAGAATAATCAGTAGTATGAGTGGTAGTACTCAGTACAGTAGTATAATTAGTAGTATGACTAGTAGTACTCAGTAATACAGTAGTATAATCAGTAGTGTGAATAGTAGTTCTCAGGAGTACATATTAGTATCAGTAGTGTGAGTAGTAGTACTCAGTAGTATAAGTGGTATGAGTAGTAGTACTCAGTAGTACTGTTGTATCATTAGTAGTATAACCAGTAGGATGAGCAATAGTACTCAGTGATACAGTAGTTTAATCAGTAGTATGAGAAGTAGTACTAATTAGTACAGGAGTACAATCATAAGTATGAGTAGTAGTATTCAGTAGTACAGTACTATAATTAGTAGTATGAGTAGCAGTATTTAGTGGTACAGAAGTATAATCAGTGGTGTAAGTAGTAGTGCTCAGTAGTCCTCAGAAGTACAGTAGTATAATCAATAGTACTTAGCAGTATGGTAGTATAATCAGTAATCCTCAGTTTTTTCAGTAGAACTCAGTATTACAGTAGAATAATCAGTAGTATGAGTGGTAGTACTCAGTAGTACATTAGTATAATCAGTAGTATGAGTAGTAGTTCTCAGGAATACAGGAGTATAATCAGTAGTATGAGAAGTAGTACTCAGTACAGTAGTATAATTAGTGGTATGACTAGTAGTACTCAGTAATACCGTAGTATAATCAGTAGTATGAGTAGTAGTACAGTAGTGTAATAAGTGGTATGAGTAGTGCTCAGTAGTACTGTTGTATCATTAGTAGTATAACCAGTAGGATGAGCAATAGTACTAGTAGTGATACAGTAGTATAATCAGTAGTACTCAGTAGTACATTAGTTTAATCAGTAGTATAATCAGTAGTACTCAGTAGTACAGTAGTATAATCAGTAGTATGAGTAGTAGTACTAATTAGTACAGAAGCATAATCAGACGTATGAGTAGTAGTACTCAGTAGTACAGTACTATAATTAGTAGTAGTGCTCAGTGGTACAGTAGTATAATCAGTAATATGTGTAGTAGTACTCAGTAGTATAATCAGTAGTATGTGTAGTAGTACCCAGTAGTACAGTAGTATAATCAGTAGCACTCAGTAGTACAGTAGTATAATCAGAAGTATGAGTAGTAGTACTCAGTATCACAGTAGTATAATCAGTAGGAGGAGCCCTGTGAGGCAAATTGTGATTTGTGATATTGGGCTTTATAAATAGCGTTGATTGATTGATTGTTTGATTGATTGATTGATTGATAGTATAATCAGTAGCACTCAGGAGTACAGCAGTATAATCAGAAGTATGAGTAGTAGTTCTCAGTATTACAGTAGTATAATCAGTAGCACTCAGTAGTACAGTAGTTTAATCAGCAGTATGAGTAGTAGTTCTCAGTAGTACAGTAGTATAAATGGTAGTATGAGTAGTAGTTATCAGCAGTACTGTAGTTTAATCAGTAGTATAAATAGTAGTATGAGTAATAGTACTCAGTATTACAATAGCATAATCAGCAGCATTAGTAGTAGTAGTACTCAGTAGTACAGTAGTATAATCAGTAGTACTCAGTAGCACAGTAGTGTAATCAGTAGTATGAGTAGTAGTACTGAGTAATACAGTAGTATAATCAGTAGTATGAGAAGTAGTACTGAGTAATAAAGTAGTATAATCAGTAGTATGAGTAGTAGTGCTGAGTAATACAGTAGTATAATCAGTAGTATGAGAAGTAGTACTCAGTAGTACAGTAGTATGGTCAGTAGTATGAGAAGTAGTGCTCAGTAGTACAGTAGTATAATCAGTAGTACTCAGTAGTACAGTAGTATAAATGGTAGTATGAGTAGTAGTTCTCAGCAGTACCATAGTTTAATCAGTAGTATAAATAGTAGTATGAGTAATAGTACTCAGTATTACAATAGCAGCAGTATGAGTAGTAGTAGTACTCAGTAGTACAGTACTATAATCAGTAGTACTCAGTGGCACAGTAGTATAATCAGTAGTATGAGTAGTAGTACTCAGTAGTACAGTAGCATAAACAATAGTATGAGTAGTATTAGTCAGTAGTACTGTTGTATGATCAGTAGTATAATCAGTAGTATGAGTAGTAGTACTCAATAGTACCATAGTATAATCAGTAGTATCAATAATAGTACTCAGTATTACAGTAGTATAGTCAGTTGTATAACAAGTAGTATGACTAATAGTGCTCAGTAGTAAAGTAGTATAATCAGTAGTATGAGTAATTGTACTCAGTATTACAGTAGTATAATCAGTAGTATAATCAATAGTATGAGTAATAGTGCTCAGTATTACAGTAGTATAATCAGTTGTATAACAAGTAGTATGACTAATAGTTGTCAGTAGTACAGTAGTATAACCAGTAGTATGAGAAATAGTGCTCAGTAGTAAGTTGTATAATCAGTAGTACTCAGTAGTACAGTAGTATAATCAGTAGTATGAGTAGTAGTACTCAGTATTACAGTAGTATAAACAGGAGTATGAGTAGTAGTTCTCAGTAGCACAGTCGTATAATCAATAATAATAAGCATTGCAGTAGTAGGCCTATAATCAGTAGTATGAGTAGTAGTACTCATTAGTATAGTAGTATAATCAGTAGTACTTAGTAGTATCTATAATACTCAGTAGTATAAATGTTAGTATCAGTAGTATCAGTACTCACGGAGGCAGCATGCTGCAGGCTGACAGGATCTCTGTGAGCTGAAGTCTGGACTCTGAAGTTTCAGCTCCTCCTTCACACTCTGTTTATATCCTGACACACATACACACACACACACACACACACACACACACACACAGGGGGCGGGGCTTATCACTCTGCTGCTGAACATACTACCATCTTTACTACAACTACTGTTTCTACTGTATATATTGTTTCTAATGTTTCCACTACAGTAAAAAAATACCACATACAGCACTCACCTGCATGCAGAGGGGGAGGGGCAGGGTTTAACTGGACAGGTAACCTGTCATCACTTCCTGTCATTTATTGACCCGCCTTCTTTAATCTGACTGAACTTTGACCTGTGACATCACCAGGCAGCAGCCAGGTGTTAGCCTGTTAGCAAAGCTAGCTCAGTCTGACCTCACCTGAGTCACCTGTCTACTGTTTCAGTGAGGACCACCCACCAATCAGGGCTCTGGAGGCGGGACTGAGAAAGACCATGTCTTCTCTCTGATTGGTCAATCAGAACAGATCAAAGTGTTTCCTGTTTCCTGTTGTACAAATGTAAACAATGATGAAACTATAACAGAACAAACATCCAGGACAGGTGACTGATGACCTCATAAATCATTTCCAGTGTTCAAAGACACCATGATCATATTCTGGGTCATTAAATCAGAATATCAACGAATACAGATGTTAATAATAAAATAAATTATAAAAACAAACAAACAAACTCAAAACTTTCTACAGCAGTTAATAACCCCATCTGTGATCAGCTGTGATCCAGCTGTGATTAGCTGCCGCTGTCATTACAAACATATGTCATTTCACTTGACACGTCAAAGGAAAAGACATCTAATTTCTCTAAAGGCATGTTTCCTTGTTTCCTCTCTCCTCAGGTGTTTCCTCTGTGTCTCATGAGGGGAGACCTAAGACGTGACGAAAGGCTCTGCCTTTTATCGACCTGTTGCCATGGTGACTCGCAGTGACTGGTAGTATTAGAGCTCCATTGGTGATGAATTATTTAAATTCACTGCATACAAGCTGAACTCAGAGGTGATCTAACCGACGCTGATCAGCTGATCTGAAACTAAAAGCTACATGACACTTTTTGTTACCACCACATGACACTTTTTATGTTACCACCACATGACACTTTTTGTGTTACCACCACATGACACTTTTTACGTTACCACCACGACACTTTTTACGTTACCGCCACATGACAATTTTTGTTACCACCACGTTACACTTTTTACGTTACCACCACATGACAATTTTTATGTTACCACCACGTTACACTTTTTGTGTTACCACCACATGACACTTTTTATGTTACCACCACGTGACACTTTTTACGTCACCACCCCATGACACTTTTTATGTTACCACCACGTGACACTTTTTGTGTTACCACCACATGACACTTTTTACGTTACCACCACATGACACTTTTTGTGTTACCACCACATGACACTTTTCATGTTACCACCATGTGACAATTTTTGTTACCACCACATGACACTTTTTACGTTACCACCACATGACACTTTTTATGTTACCACCACATGACATTTTTTATCTTACCACCATGTGACACTTTTAGTGTTAACACCACATGACACTTTTTATCTTACCACCACATGGCACTTTTTATGTTACCACCACGTGACACTTTTTGTGTTACGACCACATGACACTTTTTATGTTACCACCAGATGACACTTTCTATGTTAACACCACATGACACTTTTTACGTTACCACCACGTGACACTTTTTATGTTACCACCATGTGACACTTTGTGTTACCACCATAAGACACTTTATGTGTTAACACCACATGACACTTTTTATGTTACCACCACATGACACTTTTTATGTTACCACCACATGACATTTTTTATCTTACCACCATGTGACACTTTTAGTGTTAACACCACATGACACTTTTTATCTTACCACCACATGGCACTTTTTATGTTACCACCACGTGACACTTTTTGTGTTACGACCACATGACACTTTTTATGTTACCACCAGATGACACTTTCTATGTTAACACCACATGACACTTTTTACGTTACCACCACGTGACACTTTTTATGTTACCACCATGTGACACTTTGTGTTACCACCATAAGACACTTTATGTGTTAACACCACATGACACTTTTTATGTTACCACCACATGACACTTTTTATGTTACCACCACATGACATTTTTTATCTTACCACCATGTGACACTTTTAGTGTTAACACCACATGACACTTTTTATCTTACCACCACATGACACTTTTTATGTTACCACCACGTGACACGTTTTGTTTTACCACCATGTGACACTTTTAATGTTACCACCACGTGACCCTTTTTATGTTACCACCACATGACACTTTTTACGTCACCACCCCATGACAATTTTTATGTTACTACCACTTGACACTTTATATGTTACCACCACATGACACTTTTTACGTCACCACCCCATGACAATTTTTATGTTACTACCACTTGACACTTTATATGTTACCACCACGTGACACTTTTTACGTTACCACCACTTGACACTTTATATGTTACCACCACGTGACACTTTATATGTTACCACCACGTGACACTTTTTAATGTTACCACCATGTGACACTTTTTATGTTACCACCAGATGACACTTTCTATGTTAACACCACATGACACTTTTTATGTTACCACCAGATGACACTTTCCATGTTACCACCACATGACACTTTTATGTTACCACCACGTGACACTTTTTATGTTACCACCACGTGACACTTTTTATGTTACCACCACGTGACACTTTTTGTGTTACTGCCACGTGACACTTTTTATATTACCACCACATGACACTTTTTGTGTTACCACCACATGACACTTTTTGTGTTACCACCACGTGACACTTTTTATGTTGCCACCAGATGACACTTTCTATGTTAACACCACATGACACTTTTTGTTACTACCAGATGACATCTTCTATGTTAACACCACATGACACTTTTTATGTTACTACCACATGACACTTTTTATGTTACTTCCAGATGACATTGTCTATGTTTACACCACGTGACACTTTTCATGTTACTACCACGTGACACTTTTATGTTACTACCATGTGACACTTTTTATGTTACCACGACGTGACACTTTTCATGTTACTACCACATGACACTTTTTATGTAACCACAACATGACACTTTTTATATTACTGACGTGAAACTTTTTACATTCCCACAACGTGACAGTTCTTTTAACCTAAAAAGTGGCACATTGTGGTAATGTCCCTACAGGAAATATCTAAAAGGCTGGGCTGTTTTTGTCGTAGTTTCCATGGCAGCAGATCACTCTGTGTTCCTATTGGTCAAAGTGATGGCTGTGATGGAGAAGTCGAGTGTAGACCCACTGAGTTGCAGTCCGACATTAAACCTGAACTGGTCTGGTTTCATGTGTGACCTGTGGGACTCTAAGACCAGACCAAACGATGAAGCTGATTCAGTTTCAGGATGAAGAAAAAGAAAAGTTTGTTTCAGCTCAGTGAAGCTTCACCGCTCCAACTGTGTGTCTGTGTGTGTCCCAGTGTGTGTGGTCGGACTCAAAGGACATATAGAAAGGACGCTTTATTAAAGTGACACTGAGCTGCCAACAGGAACTTGCCAACATTCCTCTGAACCACATCCATAACGCACCTTCCTCCTTTCTCCTCCTCCTCCTCCTCCTCTTTGTCCTTTAAGGTGCAGAATTCAGGAGAAACATGGTTGAGTCTCGTTCTCAGGTCGTCGTGTATTGATGACCTTTGGTCGACAGTGGGATTGAACCAACAACCTCAGGCTACCTGACGATCTGAGACTCAACCGTCTGGCTCCACAGTAACATTCAGGCTGTGTTCACACCTGCCCTGTTTGGCTCAGTTCTTTTGTGCAGGTGTGAACACACCAGAACAACCGGACTAAGACCTT